TAATAATAATAATAATAATAATAATAATAATAATAGCGATATTATTCGTAATAGTACAGTCGCGCGCATTTTTTACCCTTAACAACTAACTGCGCTATGTTACAACGATTATATACAAAATAATAAGATCCCAGGTGCTTGATTCAACACTTTCTCGAGTGTTTCCGCCCTTTCGTTCTACTTCTTCTCTTCCTCAAACATCTGTGTCTACTTTTTTCACAACGATTATCAAATTCCTATTATAAACACGTCCGCGTGTTGTCAGCCGTACATTTACGGCCGACGGCGCCCTTTAACGACAAGCTAAATTATGATACACGAAGAAACTACCCTCTATACTTGTTTTTTTTCGTTTTCTTTTTCTTGTAATATCTTTACACAAGGCTAATCTACACGGTCAAATACGAAAATGTTTAGCGTCGAACGAGTCACACCCGTGGAACCGTTTTCTTTCTTTTTTTTTCTCTCGACGATGATAGCTTTCGAACATCGATCAACAATTCTCGAAAGAAAATCCCCCATTCTGGACGAAAGAAGGAGATTCTTCTTCTCGTCATGAGACTTTTCACGATGCATTTGGTATTAATTAAACGTTCGCGCTAAGCGAGGTCCCGATTACACGAAGATTACATTGTTCGTCCTTTAAAACACTAATTCACTTGGTTCTCAACAATTGTTCGCCGTTTTGTCGCAGTCACACACCACGAGAAATCATATATATATATACTTGCGAATTAAGCGTAATTGTGCGTTTCGCAATCCGGAGTGAAAATCGACGACATCTTACGTTCGAATAGAACGTTCCGAAATGTTGACGAGTGATCAATCAACCCTTTCGCTGCTCTTGAAAATGTGCTCGCGCTGTGATCTCGGCGTCTATAGGCGTTCCGAAAATTATCCTTCGCGCGCTTTCGTCTTAATTAAATAAAAGAAATTTCGAAAACGGGAAAATTTCAATTTTTCAATCTTTCAAAAATGTTTAAATGCCAAAACGCAAGAATTCGCCGAAACGAAGATTACGTTCTGAAAATTATCCTTCGCGCGCTTTCGTCTTAATTCAATAAAAGTAACTTAGAAATCCAGAAAATTTGAAATTTCGATTTTATAATTCTTCAAAAATGCTTAAATGCCAAAACGAAAGACCTCGTTTATGATCTATAAATACGAAAAATGTGGCGCAGCGGAAGGGTGAAACGAAAGCAACATCGAGACAAAAAGAAACGACGGATAATTCGGTCAATCACCGACGAATCACCTATCTAGAATAGATTTAAACTCGGTGGCACCATGGATGATTCGCGGGCTCGTCAACGTGTCCGCACGAGATCCGACGAATCAACGACGGCAAAAGCATCGTGGGGTCAACGAGTCACAGGCCACGGGGCGATCTTCCACGACGGTTAAATATTCAATAGCTGTCCTTGCTTCTGTCCAATCTGCCGCCCGTCCATTTCGGGGAACGGTGTGTCTCTCTAACGAACGGGATCCACCGTTCGAGCCGGATCTCGAAATATCGAACACGTTCCGCGGTAGGAAGCCGCCTCGGTTTTGCGGTCGTCGTCGTCGTCGCCGCTCCTCCATAAATCGACGACACGCGACAGAGAGCTGACCCATATTTTGACAGACTCACGAATAATTCGTCTCGTTTCGTCGTCTATGTCGAGAGAGAGAGGCGGCGCGCGGAACGAGATCCGATCCAGCCTGGCCTGGCTTTAAATGACGTTGACGCCACGACGCCGACCAAGTAATTGATCTTATCCGGTTTAATAGATGATCGCGTTAGCCGATAGTTTGAATGGCAGCTCGGGATCCCTGAGAAGAACGTGAACGCAACTTCTGCACTCGATCGCGTTCCATCGGGATAACTTACAAACATAGAAATTCGTTCCCCTTTTGAATAATCGAAAGTAAAGGTTGTTCTTAGTCGTAAATTCGTGGAAATAATTGCACCGAAATCTAACACACACACTTGATAAAAGAAAGCAATATTTCGATCGTCCCAATCCGGTATACAATGACAACAAGATTAAGATTACCATCGATCAAAAACTTGTCTGAAATGTTCGTGTATGCCCTACGTCGATCTCCCGTCGCAAATACACAGTTCCTCTACTCTGAAAAACGAGCCAACGAAAATACGATAGAAAACTATATCTTCTTTTATACTCAACAGCTGATTCGAAAACAGTCTAATCGAAAGATTCTAACGGGAAACCATCAGACACACGTCTAAACTCACACACATCTTCGCAACGGAGAATTTTTGCAACAGAGAACGGATCAATAAAAGAATGCCTCAGGGTCCCTTGTTCTCTCATCCTCCTCCTAGATCTCCTTCTTTTCACGTGTGATTCTCGCCAGTCTGCACAGACACCTCGGAGCCCATCATTATACCGTTGGACAGTACATTGGTCATCGATGGTAGAACAAGCGGGCTTGGGATCGTCATCGACGGTCTAAGCCTTTCTGTCAGTGCTAGCATCACTTGACAGTGTAGATGCTGAATGGTAGCCAGTAGATTTAAATTGGTGTCGATCAATCCTGTGGCCGGTGAGTATCTGTCCCTTTCGACGTTTTCGATCTCGTCGGAAGGGAGAACGGTCATTTTCTGTTCAAGTTCGGACTCCTTCATCGCGGCGGCTTTTTTCTCCGCTTGCAGTAGCCTCTGCTGATGCTTCAGGTACGAGGTAGTGATGGGAAGACTGTAGTCGATGGGCGTGTTCTTAGGATCGAGTCCAGGGCTCCACGGCCTTGGCAACGGTTGGCTGGGCTGAGGGGATGGCGTTCGACCCTCTGGCAACATCCTTTTCCTCTTCGACGAGGCCGAACTTCTCGAACTTGCCCGATCCGACTCTGGGGTCCTTCTTGATTCCGGCAGGCTGGTGTCTGCGCTCGGCAAAAAACCACCGGTGACTGGCTCCTTCTTCAGCAAATTCGTAATACTCAGGGGATTGTACTTCTCCTCCTTCTCCTTATCGGTTTTGTCCACGACCACCGAACTACCGGCGTTGTTCCCCTTTTGATGTTTCTGATGCCTGTAACTATACAGCGGCTTCCCATCGCCGCCGTGATTTCCCTCGCGCAGCTTAGGGCTACTTTGCACCGACGTCGTAGACGTCGTGGTTAGGGTAGCAGCGCCGGCTGTGTTAGGGCTCAACGGTGTCGCCGTAGACGTCAATGTCGTCGTCGTCGTTAGCGTCGCCGCAGACGTGGACTGCGATTGGTTGGATAAATTCGTCGGGCTCGGGGTACGCGGGCGTCGTTGACATTCCGTGCAGCCCAGCAGAAATCGTGTTACCGCCTCTCGGGGCAGGAACGCGTAGGTTTCCGTGATCTGCAACGAAACAGAAGAGTCGTGTTAGGAAAAAGGGAGGACTCTTTCGTCGGGATACAGGGTGTTCATTCTAACCACGTGGCATGAATTTTCAGCTATTTGCGACGATGTGATGGGAAACAGTTGTCGAGCAAAATTTAAATAGCGAACCCAGGGTCACTTCGAGTTTTTAAAAATTTGGTGTTTGTATTGTAGGAAGTGTTAATGCTGAACTTCGAGGTATGCAAAAATCGACACGTTTCGATGGGGAAAACGAGGAATTCGAAGGGAACACGAAGTTCCAGCGAAATCAGCGTGAGTAACGCCGCTCGATGTTCCCCTCAGCGAGTCAGGTATTTTCCCTCGGCAAGATTAGAAAGTACCAGGCCTGCACTCACGGTTCGAACGGCGTGAGTGACCCCCTTCGTTCTCCTGTCAAACGTCAGCGTCACGTGGATCTGTTTCGCGCGGAACGCCCACTGGGGAAAATTCACGAGCAGTAACGGAACTTTGATGTCTTTGCGAGGAGGTATTTAGCCGGAAGGATGTTCTCTGCCTCTTAATAGGAAACGTTTCTCTCTAAGGAGGTGGAGGAGCGGCATAACTTAATCAAGGATGGGAGGCTCTGCGAGCCGAGAAAGGCAATGGTCGGCGAGCGTACACGTGCACCAACGAATGTATGCGCGAGAAGGTGCACGTCACGCTGAGGTAATTCGATAAGATTTACTCGAAGCTTGACTACGAGAAGACGAAGAAAAGGGAGCTGTACCGTAAGAAATGGAGATAATAGCTTCTGAATCGACGCGACACACTCGCGATATCTCTGTAGGCGAGAATCTTCCGAGGAAATATTCGGGGGAGAATTTTAACGATTTTCTGAACACGTTGTGTAGAATTGAGGAGGGAGGAACGACGGGTGGGTGGATGTTAGAGAGAAATTCAATTTAACGTGGATGAAATTTCAAGTGAATTTTAAGGAACTATGCAAAATTTGGAAAACTATATTTTTGGAAATTTGTCAAATGTACTCCCATCAAGTCTTGGAATTTTGTAGGTGCTAAGGAAACTTGCATATACTTAAACTTTAGGCTTTAAATGAATATTTTAAATTTTAGAAAAGTTGGATACTTTCATTCGTTCGATAAAAAAAATCTTTGCCTACATCAACCTCTGAACAATTTTTCTACACCACTGAATCAATATTGTCTATGAAATAAAGTAGAATGATTACAAAAAATATAAAAATTTTGAAGCAATATTTATAACGATTTAAATACTCAAAATTTTGATGAAATTTGATAAAATACAGAAACTTGGATACGAAAATTTCATTTAACTCTATACAGAATACTGAAACTTCAGTCCAATCTCAATCTATTACAAATCTTTTCCAATTCTTATATAAACACCATTACAAATCCCAAATTAATCAAAGTCGACATTTAACTGTCTAATTAAGCACGTCTGAACGAACTGTCGACATACGTTTCCAAAATAAAAGTTTATTTAAACAATTTCAAAAATTAAACCCTGAAACACCCACGAAAATTTTGGTTACCCACGCAAGAATTAAAACCAACACCCCCCGCCCACCAACAAAAAAAAACGAACCTAACATACCCAGAACTTTCACAGCTCCGTTACATAGGCGCCCCTTCTCCCTAAACAGCACCGCGTGAAGCGAAACGGTGAAACGCGCCGCCGCGCGGAGGGTGGTTTCCCGCGAGCCGATGAATCGCGCCTTGTAACGGCGACTTAAACGTTAAAACAGTTCCAGGGTCGCGCGCTACGCGACTGGCCTGCCGTGCACGCGTGCGTGCGTGTACACGCGGACGCGCGAGCGCGAACGCGAGCTCGTGGTAACCGTGTGTGGGTGCACCAGTAAGCAGGCAATGCAACAAGTGTCCTGAGGTTTTGAATCACAAGCAGATCGCGGCGGTCGAGAGAGAGAAAGAGGAGGACGCGACGCGGCTCGAATGGGATAGGGATGGCGGGGTGGAGGAGGAGAGGAGAGAAGAGGAATGAGAGGAGGAGTGACGCGCGGGCGGCTAGGAAGGTCGGAGGGGTTGCGAACGGTAGAAAGAGGAACGACGGACAAGCGGAGAAAGAGGGCGAGAACCGACCGGGTCGCGCGCGGGCGGAGAGGACGGTGTCACGGACCAGATATGATACCCCGGAGAGAGGTTTACGCAAACGCGCGCCGGAACACGTGAGATGACGTGTGGTATCGAGTGTTCGACGCTTGAATGCCTCGGTGCCTTCTCCCCAGGGAACGGTAAATATCGCGTGTCGCGGCTGACCATGCAAGAATTCGGCGCGCTCACGATCCCGATTGGGGGTCATCCGAGATATACCTCCTCCGGGGGAGAGACCGCTTTCTGATTGAATTCGAATCACGATGGATTCCGCCCCGGGAAAAATTGTTTCTTCCGCGGTGCTGCTGTTAGGGTAAAGTTGGTAATGTTTTTGGAACGTTCGAAATCTGATTGGAAAGTTTCGAGAATAGTGTTTAACCCTTTTGTGGTGGTTGCAATACTTTTTGTTTTTGTGGAAGGGAAGAATAAAGTCGTCTTCGAATGTAATTGGTTTATTCGTGGCGACGAAGAGTTACTGCAAAGTTCTAACCGAAATTGTCCGTTGACCTGGCTTGCTCGTGATCTATGAGGAAACCTCTCATTTTTCTAACCCTCGGTTTCTTCCGCTTTAGGCTCCGCGTGACGATAAACAGATGGCCAGTAGACAGCTTATTCATATTTTTTTAAGGTGCGTTTCCATCGTATCATCGTTGCGTATCAATTTTGAAGGGCGTTGCATCGTTGCGTATCAAAATTAATCACGTTTTCACGTGAGTAAATTTTTGTAAACTGTGATTAATTTTGATACGCAATTTTGATACGTGAAAATTGATACGCAACGGTGGTACGATACGCGGATATGCAACGAATGGACGCGCACCTTTAGAATTTTACAATTTGGTGGGAGAAGCAAGAATTGATAATTATTATTGTAGGACTGCAACGATATTCCAATTAACTTAAAGTGATTTTTTAACAAGTATTTGACATCACAAATTTCACACATAAAGATGCACCTTTAGTAATTTCCATTAATCCTCGAACAAAGATATCTTCACTGAATCACGTTTAATCTTTTACGTTTGAGAAAAGCAAAGAAAGAAACTGGTATTTTTGACAGAAATATTCAATTTGTCAGTGTTTCGTCCGAAGTTTAATGTACCCCTCAATTTCTAAGCGCATCAAGTCAGCGAGAAGGTAATAGGCAGATATTTCTGTTTGAAACTTACCGTCCTGTACGTTCTCTTTTGACCGGCATGCTTTCCCGGACGACCCTCAAGGTCAACATGGACAGCATGAATAATGTCGAAGAAGTTCTCCACGATCGCGACTTTCTTGTACACTCTTCCGGGTGGAACGGTACCCTCGGCGCCGTTTAACGTCTGAAACCAACGTATGACATAGTTAAAAATTCAATCTAACTTTTAAATAGCTCTAGTAGATAGAGAAAACATGGTCAGTTCCAGGAAATTTAGAATGCGTCACGTTAATACACACCGTTGCCATTCTATTAAACGTTACTTCACACATTCCATAGATTTTCTTTAACCTATTAGCATTAATAATGAATTCATATCTCGAGCAAAGTCAAGCATCTAAGCTTTCTATTAATTCATATTCTGCAACTTAATATTTAAGGAGCAAGAGTAGCTTTTGTGCGGTTCAGTGCCATCTAACCGGTTGCAAACAACCGTGCAGCAAGCGAAAAGATTTCTTCCTTTGCGACGGCTGTAAGTTAGATTCCTGCAATCCTATTACCGACAGAAACTCCACACACTTCCCTGTCGTCGGCAAGGCAGGAAAACCCTGCTAATTCTCCGATCGCCGATAAGACAGATCTCTACCAAAAACAACCCCGTTTAATTTCAAATAATTCCCCCTTTCCTGCAACACCTAAAAACTTGCAATAACCGTAACAAATAATCACACACAAATATTCTTAACCTTTCAAACATTCCTCCACCCCAAAAACCGTTCTAAATCATCTCACAGAAACAAGTATCACGAAGAAACACGTTTCAATTTTCCCAAACCGTCAAACCTCGCCGTAAACCGAAAAAGATCACGCGAGTTCGATTCAAATTTCACACATCGATTATCCTCCCTCGAACCCTTCATGTTTCCCATTTACAACGTCGAAGGGCGACGCGGAGCTAGCCGGTCGGAGGAAAAAATTCCAACTAGTCCAGAAACTCAATTAACTTGGCGGAGCGGGTGGCGTGACGGTCCGCGGTCAGATTGTTCGAACGAACTTTCCGACCTTAAGAAGTTACGGGCGCATGCGCGACATTATTGTATTTCCCTAAACACCTGTTGAAGGGTAAAGTTGAACTCGTGTGGGGCTTACGACTCGGTTAAGTGGCTGCGGTCAGGCGGGATAACAATGCCGATATCTAGGCGACCGCCGCCTTAAGATAACACGCCGTGAGCCCGATCGAACGACATCCCCTTTCCCTCCCACCACACCCCCGCCCCCTTCTGGCCTCTCCTCACGGTCCGTAATTGGACGTAATCGTGGCGACGGTTCCGTGTCTATCTATCCATTTATCTCTCTCTCTCTCTCTCTCGCTTGCTCGTTCTCTCTCTGTCGCTCCTTCGCGCCGTATTTAGCGAACGGAAATCGATGCTCTCGCGCAAATATCGAAGCGGCGCGCGATCATTCAATTTTCAGTGAACGGGGCTGAACATAGGCAGTCCCGCCGGGTTAAAACGGACCCGACAACCGATATTATCGGGATATTATAATACTGAAATATTCCGTGCAGCCAGCGAACGAAGCGGGTTGCGGTCTGAAAATAAGCTCCGTCTCTCTGGTTGTACACGGACGGTGTTGTGTGTGTGTGTGTGTAGTGGTTCGATTTTAAATTCGGGAAAAAATATTTGCGGATGGATCGAGGTGTAAGATTCTTCGAGGAGGAAGTTCTTGAACCTTGACTGCAAAATATAGTGGAATAATGTAACGGATGGTACTTTTTACGATTAGTGAAACTCATAGAGGTAGTTTATCATAGGTAGACGAAGGTATATATAAAGACTGTAAGATGTTTAATGAAATATATGGAACTGTAAGCGAATTCGTAATTGTATTTGAAGCAGTGCAAGTTGTAGCTGATTGTCAATTGCTTTAACATTGATTTACTACGGCCTTGGCACCGGGGGATATACTCGTTAGACGATTTACTCGTGAGAAATGTAATTTTAAAGTGTTAAATTACACACTCGATTGGACGTTCACGTTTGTCATAATTATTGATGGGATAAAGTGAGAGTCTTCTCAAAAGAAAGTCGAAGAAATTAACGAAGAAAACAATGAGATCCGAAATTTTGGAGGTAAAGGATTAAGGGAATAACCTTAATTGTTCAAATATTCCTTCCTTCTATCTATTACAAATCTGACTTAAAAATTAAGTCACAAAACAGTGAAACATTTTTCTATCTCCTAATCTCAGTGACCAGCGAAAGGGTTAATTAAAATCGAAGAACTCATCGGTTATTCAAATATCTCGACAAGAACCGAAGCAATGCTCTTCTTACAAATCTGACATAAAAATGAAGTCACAAAACAGTGAAACATTTTTCTATCTCCTAATCTCAGTGACCATCGACAGGATCGATTAAAATCGAAAAACTCATCAATACCGTAACAACGTCGATCACAAGACACGATCATCCTCAGCATTCGCAAAACATAAAAAACACCATTCCTCAACGTGTGCAAGAACTTCCATAGAGAAACCGTGCAACCGACAGCTCGATTCCTAATTAATTCACTCATCGTCCTCCGTCCGTCCGTCCGTTGCCCTTCTCCCCTCCTCCCAAAAACCGAGCAACCCATCCCTGAATTGCTCGCGAACCAGAAATTTCATGGCGTAACGGCGTTTCGAGACCGCGACCTCGATCCCCCGGAGCCCCAATAATCGTCGATGATCCAGCAGAGTTCCGGGGTCAGACAGCGTCCACCCTGCTCGAGATAGCCGGGGTTCGATCGAAACGGGCAGAGATTAACCTACTTGAGAGGGTGTATGTGTCTTGGCTTGCGCTTATGTAAACGCGCTGGAGTGAGTTTCACGGCTGAATACGGCCGAGAAGCGGCACAAAGAGAGAGAGAGAGAGAGAGAGAGAGAGAGAGAGAGAGAGAGAGATGGCTGAGCATTCTGTCGCCTATGGATGGTCGTGTCACGCAATGCGTATTGGCATATAACGAGCGTGCATAGTGCAGCACACTGGCCGTGTGCCTCGACGAGGCGAGATCTGTCTGGAACCGTGTCGATACTGAATATGTATGCCACTTACAGCCACCCCGTTCTACGAGCTCGTTTTAATGTTTAATACAAAGCAGCAACGCGAACTGTCGTGCTTTGTTTTCCGTTAGGCTACCGGTATCTATCGGACCTTCGTGCGCCTTCTTGGCGTTCCTTGGATCTTCTGCCGGGTGAATTCTGATCGAGCACTGACGTGTGTGTTGTTGTGTGCGATGTTCGAGGTGGAAGGGGGACATTTGGGAATTGGTGTGTTATGGATTACCTCAATCTATGATTTCCTTTCTGTCTATACATCTAAGCGTCAGCCATTTACTGTTTTAGTACCGTATCAGGTAACAAAAGCTAATCTGTTACAGATTAATTACGTTTGTTAATCCTCAGCCTTACGAATTCAAACGAAAGTTGGGGTTACGATGGGTTTTTCTTACCGATATCTGACACGTTGTTATAGGTTAAATTAGGTTGTAAATTAGGTGTTAATAGGTTGTAATTAATATTTGTACATCTATTAATTTAACAGCCATTCAATTTTGATTCTAAACATTTTCTCATATCTACTATAATTTCAAAGATATGCAGGGAAATAGGGTAATAACACCTATCTTCATTGAAGGGCAGTTTTCGCCCGGAAGAACCGAAAAAGGGCGAAAAAGGAAAAAATTGCAAATCTGCAAAGTTTCAAAAAAATCAGAATTTTTGGGTTACCAAAGTTACTAATTTAAACTTCCTTCTTCCCGAGAGTAACCCGTCGTTTAATTGTTAACGTACAAAGCTGTGTCCAAGACAGTCACCGTTTCGACGAAGTGTCTTTCCGGGCAGAGGTTTCCCTCCGCCAAAAGTCTGACTCAGCCAGCAAAGACCAATAACCCCTCCGATCGGAGAAGTTAAGCGCGTGTAACTCGAGATCTCGGCCTGTGGGCTAGGATCTTCGACCACCCCCTATGCCAAATAAGGGTCGATACCCGCTGGAAGCGATACGTCGAGGGACGGACACGGGAGAATTGTTCCACGAGCGTATCTGTCGGCGAACGGGACACGTGGAATATCGTTCGAAACACGGTTTAACCCTTTCGCCACGGAAGTAACCTTTCTCAAGAATTTGTTATTTATCTGTAGATCGTCTCAGTCGACGTTGAACTCTGGTTTTTGGTGGAGTTATCGACGATCAATTTTGGGTACTTGTAGTTTTATGGATTTTTACAGATTTATGAGATTCAGGTGGACTTGGAACTCCTATTTTTGATGTTAGGGTTATTGACAATTAATCTGACGATCTTTGTGTTTATGTAGGTCGCGATTTGAATAGAATTAGAAGTCTTCTTTATTATGATTTTTGTAATTGCGTAGACTAAGATTTAAATAGACTTACAAATCTTCTCATTGACCATTCATTTTTGGAGTTACTGATTTATGACTTTTTGTGGATTTAGAACTCCTCTATCTAAGACCAGAGTTACCGAGGATTAATTTTATGTCGAAGACAGAGTTAACTTAACTTAAAATTCAGATGAACATCGAACGTTCCTTTCTGACGAAGTTACTAAATTACGAACTTATGGATTTTTATGGATTTATAAAATTTCGACGAACTTAGAACTCTATTCTCCGACAATTCGAGTAAACGAAGATGAATTTTTGCTCGAGCAACTCCGAGAGTCGCGAAAGGGTTAACCGGTGATTTCTATCTGCAGCTGGAACTGTTCTAAATATTCCTTGCCGTAACGCGCGACAGACGACTTTTACCCCATAAATAAAAAAGGAACGCGAGCAGAATTCCTCGGTCGACGCAAGAGTTCCCACGAATCTACCGCCGCTTTCGTCGCTTTCCATGCGCGTAAGAGGCGAAGGGAAAGGGAAAAGAGGTTCACCAGGATATTCCAGGCCCCTCGAGAATCCGTCAGCTTGCAAAAGAGCACGGGGATAACGAAGAGACCGCGTCAAAGAATATTATTGCGCTGGCTGAGAGAAGCTTGAACGAGGGAGCAGAGAAACGAGCGTCCCGCGAAACGTCGCGTAAGCCGGTGCTAAACGCGCGCGAAAGGGCCGCGGGGCTTTTATGGGCTCTTCCTATCTCGCTTAGATATCGACGCGATATATTCGCGTGCACCGAGAGGGAGCAG